TCTCCAGGCTGAGCCCCCCCAGCTCCCTCAGCCCCTCCTGCTGCTCCAGCCCCTTCCCAGCTCCATTCCCTTCCCTGGACACTCCCAGGAAACATAATAAATTTCAACAGCTTTTTCTCAAGAAAGGGAAAACATTTCCTCATGTACTTAATAAATTTACAATATTTACCTAGCTGGTAATTCAGTAAACATTAACTAGAAAATACCCAAGTTCATCTGCAGTTACTGGGCATTTTTTTTCCTTTGATCAGCCTGCCACAAATTCCATGTTCCCTAAAAACCACAGTCCTTTGAGTCAATAGATTGGAAGAGAAATAACTGCTTTCCCCCTCCTTGCTTTGATGTCTCCATCTGACCTTCAGGGTAAACATGATGATTTCCTTTTGTGAAATACTCTTGAGGTCTAAATCATAAAAAACACAAATGAAGTACTGCCTGTGGTACTTACTGACAAGAAAATCACCCCTGGCAGGGTCTAGTGGAAGGTGTCCCTGCCCATGGCAGGGGGTGGCACTGGATGAGCTTTAAGGTCCCTCTCAATCCAAACCAGTCTGGGATTCTATAATTTAAGAAGTGTCCTTGACACTTCCACACTGCAGTCAGGACAATTTATATTTGTCAGGACTATTCATATTTATGAGGACAATTTACATTTATCAGACCATTGGTATTTATCAGGACAGGGATCTGTTCAGCAGAAGCAGGTGGGTTTGCCTCAGACTGCCCCAAATCCAAGGGGTTCACGTGGGCAGTGCTCAGGGGGGAAATGAGAAAGTGGAAAACTCCCCAACAAAAGAATATTGTGGCTCTGGGAAGGCTCAACCACCCCAGGAAACCCATGTTTCTCTCGTGACACCTGCTGAGACAGCCCTGACCCACCACAGCAGAACCAGGGAGTGACAAATCCCGGCGAGACCTCGTTGTCTTTGGGGGCAAACACCTCCAACCCTCTCACCTTGGCTCTGCACAACAGAGCTGAAAATGCAGAACAGTTTTCTCAAAGAAATCTCCTTGGAGAGAGAGAGACAGAGCCAGAGCCAGTGACAGCAAAGGCAGCACTTACTGTCCCTCTCGGCCACAAAGGGCCCTGCCTGCACCCAGGCCGAGGGCAGCTGCCCCAGCTCAGCCCTCACGCGCAGGAAGATCGTCCAGCGCCGCTTCTGGATCTCCAGGGGGAACCCACACTGGGTCCGGGGGATCCGGGTACAGTTCATCTCATTCCACACGGGAAAGGCCCCTCTGCTTCGCCAGAAAAGCACAAATAAACACGGCAGAACAGTGCAAGCACCCAAACAGTCCCTCCCACCCAGACGATTCTGGTAAGGAGATAACGCGTTACAAACCCACGGCTCTCACCTGGGCACAACCCCAGGGCCCTCTCAGCACCTCCATCTCCCCGGGGGAAATTAAATTTAAATGGGAAAATTAAAATTAACCAGAGAGAATCAGACTAAAATTCTGCAGGGAACCGGCCAACATTTCTGGCTGCTCTTCACGTCTCCAGTCTTTCCTCAGCTCAGGGGACATATCACAGCCTCTCAGATGCTGCTTTTGGAGATACACAAAAGCATCTGGGATAAAAAATGTGCTTTCGTTTCTGTGCTTATTCATATTTACACTTTTCAGGTTTCTAAAACCAATTGTGTTACTGAATTAGGACAAAATGAGCTATTTTAGAACTGTTTACTCACGTTTTATAGTGCACTGTGTATAACACCGAGCCTGTCTCCACTGGAACAGGAGACCATCTCAGCAAACTGTGGAAGTTATAGGAATAAATCTCCACATCCTCTGGAGCCGGTAAATGGGGAGAAGGTTCTAAAGCAAGAAGAGGAACAAAAATAATTACTGAAACGTTCAAGTGCACAGTGACCAAATTTTGGTCTCCAAATTCCCTCACCACGTGTCATAATTTCACTGCTGTCGTCATGTATCACATCTGCAGTACTATCACCATACACCACATTTGCACTGCTTCTCAGGCAAAACCATTTCTCCTTCCCCTCCTCCTCCTCACCTCGTTTCCAGCTGCACTGGCACTGATACAATTCAGTGGGGAGGCCCTGGCCCAGGTTGCCCAGAGAAGCTGTGGCTGCCCCTGGATCCCTGGAAGTGTCCAAGGCCAGGTTGGAGGGGGCTTGGAGCAACCTGGGCTGGTGGAAGGTGTCCCTACCTAGGGCAGGGGGTGGCACTGGATGGGCTTTAAGGTCCCTTCCAAGCCAAACCAGCCTGGGATTCTCTGTTTGTATGACTTGAACTCCCTGTTTTCATTCATTCCATGCAGAACATAATGCTGAAAGTACCAAAGTACCAAGTCCAGCACAAAACAACAAACCCCACCAGGCCCATGAAGCCATAAATTAAGGTCCCAGAATCAAGGCTGGCAGAGCCCTTCAGGATCATCCAGTCGCACCCCAGCACCACCACAGTCACCCCTAATCCATGTCTCCAAGGGCCACATCCAGACACCTCTGGAACACTCCCAGACACAGGGACTCCACCACCTCCCTGGGACACTTATTCCAAGGCCTGACCACTCTGATAGGGAAAATTATTTCTAATCTCCAATCTGAACCTGCCCTGGTACATACAGTTTGAGGCCATTTTCTCTCCCCCCTTCCCTTGGACATGGCAGCAGAGCCCGACCC